ACTTTTTCTTCTCTCTTCTTCTTCTTCTTTTTCTTTTTTCTTCTCTCTCTCTCTCTCTCTCTCTCTCGTGAAAAAAGTGCGATGATTCATTTTATACATTATTATTTTTAGCAAAGTTATTCACCGCACACCATTACTATTATTTATATAATCATATAGACAAATTATTGAATGTTTTTAAATGGCACTATTCGAGAGTTGCCTGAGTACGTTTTGTTTGATGACTAGATTTCATAGAATTCATTTAACCTTTCTCGTCTTACATGGAATTGTCACACGCGTCATTCTTCTCTTCGCGTGTTCGTCGGAACTTTTATCCTCTTTTTTTTCTTTCTTTCTTTCTTTCTTTCTTTCTTTCCACTACGATCGACTCGTTTCACAAAATACCAGAACTACGGTTTAGAAAAAAGCTTAGAAATGGGGATTCCAGGCGATTTCGAATCTCAATGCATCGCGATTAATTCGTTAATAATCTATGCATGATCGTAAGCAAAGATGGAGTGCAAAAAGCACCAGATTTTTCTTCTTTTAAACGTGGTAAACATATAATATATATATATATATAAAACTCGATCGAACTACTATTAATAATATTATTCGTATAAACAACGTTACGCATGAGTCTCGGGATACGCAATAAAAAAAGAAAAGAAAAAAAAGAAAGGAGTACAATAGGAGTATCTTTCAGATGACCGTGAGCAACGGTGTTACACGTTCCGTCACAATCAAATTGGTTTCTTTTTTCTTTTTCCCTCTCTCTTTTTTTATTATCGTTAATTATATGGTTGCGTTAATGGGATTAACTTATTCGATCGATCGAAAAGTGTTCTCGTACGACTACTCAACTAGGTGCTCCTTTATACTGAAGTATCGAGAAGTAATCTCGTTTTCAAAATTGAAATTGAAATTATGAGAAACTATATAGTTATGTACAAACGATATTACAACATCGGTGGCTGGCCACAATGTCGCCATTCCTTTTATGCATTCTCTTTATGCTCGATTGGTTCAGATTATGCTGCTGCTGATCGTTTACGTACAAACGCGTTCAAATAAATGGTATGAACGGAAGGAAAACGGTCGATCTTATTCCTTGATGCGATCAGCAACAGTTTCCAAATTTCATGCCACTTTCTTCTTACTTGTCTTCTTGCTGCGAGGGAGAGTGGCGAAGCTTGTTATCTGAAAGACAGATTAACGAGTGTTATAGATGTTTATAATTATGTATATATAATTTTAATTTATTAAAACTATATGCTCGAAATGATTGACACATCACACTGGCTATAGAGAAAACATACTATGATATATAAGGAAGAAGAAAATCAATTTCGATGCAATATTTTTGGAGTTTTTACGGGGGAAATTTTTTGTCTTTCGTCCTTGAGATTGTTTTAATTCGTAGAGAATATTATTTGTAGAAATTAAAAAATATATATATAAATACAGTGGAACTTCTTTTACCCAAACATTACATTTCACAACAATTCTATCGTTGTGATTAGTTAAAATCTTCATATAATAAGAATAAGAAAAAGTAATGATGATACGTCTTCATTCTTATGAAACATTTATGGCCATTTGAAAAGGAATTGAAATGGTTTGAAAAACAAGTATATAACATTCGATACAATAAAAAGTTTACACGATTTAGCAAAATTAAATAAATTATGAGATCTATAACAAAATGATTCGATGTTACTTTTTGCATTAATTTTTTTCGAATATATAATCACCAGAGGGGAAAAGGAAAATTTCTTTAACGTGCCTGTTATTTTATGGATACTAAAAGTTCCAACGATGTGTGACAATTTTAAACTCTCTTTGGAAAATAAAAAATCGTTCTTCGGGACGAAAGATCAAACAATTTCCACGAAAGTTTCCAGAGTTACACTTCCTTTTTCTTTTTCTCTCTCTCTCTCGAAGCAACTAACAATTAATAATTCGCATCGCTAAGTAATCGTGTTAATAATTAAATATCATGCAGGTTTTTAGAAGTAACACTCGCTAAACAATTAGTGGTCTAATTAACACAAAACACTCTAGAAACATTTTCATACGATCTGAACGAACGAATTAATCCGTTTCTTCTCTCCAGATTTCCGGTACGATAAAGTATCTAGCAGGGTGAGGATGATGAGGAAGGATTGGTGACACTGAATTCATTTAATTTGTCAACGAGAACCAGTCAAAAAGACCCGTGTAACCTTATTTATATCAATTTATATCAACAATTAAATCGAACTTTTTTCCTTTCTTTAAAAGATATCCGATTCCAATCTTTTCCCAATTTTTTGCCACTCGACATCCTCCATTCTCTCCTTATTCGTTTCGACGTCCTCCACTTTATCCTTCCCTTTCCCATCATCGGTTGGCGCGAGCACGTAAGCACTCTCGTTGGACGTATCGTTCTCGCTTTTCTCGTCGTTCGTTCCTCCCTCTTGGCAGGAGGAGGACGAGGAGGAGGAGAATTTTGGCGCGAGTTGGACGATCGTTGGCTCGATGCTGCTCGATCTAGTTTCGTCGGAATCCTCCCTGGCCCTGTGGAAAGCGTTCTGAAACATGTTCCTCGGGATGGTGAACAACTTGGAGAGACCTTCCTTGGTCCTCTGCCTCTTCGACCTCTTCCCCTTCGACTTGCTCGCGTCCGAGACGAACTCCTTGCTGCTAGTCGCGTTCGAGAAGCTCTTCAACGTTCCCGTTTTAATCACCAAAGTGGCTTTCAACGCGCCTCCGCCATCCTCGTTCAACTTCTCCTCGCTCCTCGCGAGAGGCGCCCTAGGCGCCGGTTTCTTCCTATATTTTCCAGCTCGACCGAGATTATCCGAATTGCTACGCGACACGCTCGGCGTCGTCCAAACGTCCAACGAGCCGTTCACCGCTTCCTCCTCGTCGTCGTCGTCGTCGTCGTCGTGGTCGGCCATCTCCTTGGATTCCTCCAACGCGTTGTTCTCTCGCCGAGTATTTTCAATTTTCGAATCGCACGATTCGACGATGGACGACGTGTCGCTCTGCCGCAACTTCTCTTGCGTGTGAACGATGTTGTTCACAGCTTTTCGAGCGTCGCTCAACAATTGTTTAAGCTCCTCGAACTTGTTCTGGCAAAGCTCAGTAACGATGGTCGTCGGGGGGCAGTCAGAGCTAGCGGAACACTCGCTCGTTTCTCTTACCAGGGTGAACGATTGTTCGGGGTCGGTTTCGAGGGTTTGAACCGTTCGTACGGTATCTGAGCTATCGACACTTTCTTTTCGTGATTCTTTTTCCATTTCTAGTTCCGGGCCTGATTGACTGGTGTGTTTAAGTAAATCGTCGTTACCTGGGAGAACGGGGCCACGATCGAAATTGATATAATCAGCGACATTACGGTTTCGCGAGAGCAGAAGCAAGATCTCGAGCGCTTGTTCGGGAGTGACGAGATTTAAAGGTGGCGGAAATGAGATATTTTTGGAGGAGGGAGGATCGATGCTGTCGGAATCCTCTCCCGAGTCCTTCAAATATCACAAAAATTTATTATCAAATCGGAAGATGTATGAAATAATTGGGGAATAAATGGGGGGCGTGAACTTTGTCGATCGATCAAGGCTCAATTTTCGGCGCGATCGGTCCAATTTTTAGCTCCAATCTTGTTGCCACGTCCTTTTCAAGAGGATTTTTCGAAATTTGAACTTAACCCTTTCGCTACCCAATCAAAAATGTGCACGGCGCCCGAGAAAGATCTTCAGCAGCCACATTTGTAATGTTTCGAGTTCCTTTGACGGTGCTTATTGAAAAGAAAAATTGATAAAAACAAAATGCCAGAGAAAGATACTCGATGTCGCCCCTAGTATCTCAGTAGTATCTTGTGCAGAGCTATAGTTACTCCTAATACCTCAATAGCATTTTATAGAGAGAGACTATAGTCATCCATAGTAGCTGGCATCTTATGCAGAGCGATTATAATGGCTCATAATATTTCAGTGGCTGGTATCTTGTGCAGAGCGACTATAGTCGCTCAATATCTCAGTAACATCTTTTGCAGAGCAATTATAGTTGCCCTAGTATCTCAATAGCATTTTATAGAGAGCGATAGTCACTCATAGTGGCTGGCATCTTATGCAGAGCGATTATAGTGGCTGGCATCTTGTGCAGAGCGACTATAGTCGCTCAAGTAACATCTTGTGCAGAGCAACTACAGTTGCCCTAGTATCTCAGTAGCATTTTATACAGAGCGATAGTCACCCATAGTGGCTGGCATCTTATGTAGAGCGATTATAGTGGCTGGTATCTTGTGCAGAACGACTATAGTCGCTCAAGTATCTCAGTAACATCTTGTGCAGAGCAATTATAGTTGCCCTAGTATCTCAGTAGCATTTTATAGAGAGCGATAGTCATCCATAGTGGCTGGCACCTTATGCAGAGCGATTATAGTGGCTAGTATCTTGTGCAGAGCGACTATAGTTGTCCTAGTATCTCAATGACTGGCATCCATAGTCACCCATAGTATCTAAGTGGTTGGCATCTTGTGCAGAGCGACTATAGTTGCTCGTAGTAGCGAAAGGATCAAAAGTATCGAATTGTTTACGGGTGCGTGAGAGAAAAAATTAGCTCGACGTGAGATTTTTTACGCACACGATATAAGAGTGAAACGGAATCGATACGAAATATATTATTTTAAATTTGAAAACTCGGATGAGAGGAGAGAAAAAAAAAGAAAATCTTGATTGCCAATCGCATATTGAATCCAATTTACAAAGGATCGTGGCAATTTAAAGGAGCTTGCGATCTTTTTTGCGAGCGGATCTTTTATCTCGAGGGGGGGGGGGTTTATTTCGACGCCATCATCATTTGGAGCAATTGGAGAATGAGATTGGGAGGCACGGAGCGCGGAGAATTAAACCTTGATTTACGTTGTTATAGGGATTCCACCGGTTGAATTTAGTACCTCTGGGGTCTTCTTCGTTGCGGAGCGAGGTTTTGCCCGTGTTCTTGCACCGACGCTCGATGTTCGAACTAACGAATCGCCTTGAGATGTACGGCTAGATTGTAGCGCTTCCCCGCTGCTGTATCCGCTTGATATGTCGTCCGAGGACCTTATGTTGCTGAAACGGGGGATTCGCGTTTTACAACACCGATCCCGCAACGATTATTCCACAAAGGAGAGTATGGTACTTACGTTAAGCTGGTTGTCGGCTCTCTCGACCGTGGTTGTCTAACGTCCACGTCCACCTCGGAAAAATACATCTCCACGCGATTGCTGCTCGACTGTGTCCGACGAGGGCTGTACCCTCTTCTCCCTACGTGCTCTCTTCGACGAGGTTCCACTGTACCATTTCGATCGAAATAAATTGTAATTAATTTTCGTATATAATTCGCATATACGAGGAAAGAAAAATTTGTCC